CAGTGTACCGACGAGAACGTTTCTGTGGACAAACTGACCTCCTCGTTCCAAAGGAGCCAGGTATATTTGTGACATGGCAGACTAAAGTAAACAATCCCGCGACGAGGATGGAATTCTAACCCACGCGTGCAGAGCACAATGGATTAGCAGTCCATCGCATCACATCACATTCATTGTCATAGAAATGAATGAGTTGTGTAAAGAAGATCTCGTTGTCGGCAGGATTCGAACCTGCGCGGGGAGACCCCAATGGATTTCTAGTCCATCGCCTTAACCACTCGGCCACGACAACTTTTTTGTTGCTCATTCTGTGTGGAATGCAGAATAATTGTGATCATTGAAACATTTGCTGTTATATTATTGAACTTAATATGGAGAACAAGGCAGGTGATGTTTATAGTTGACTATGCTCATAAGAGGACCATCGCCTTAACCACTCGGCCACCTCGTCTGCTGGTGGCCTGTTTTTGCAGTGAAAGTCGAATTAAGGCCACTTACAGTTGGTTTTGTCTAGTTTTGGAACGGCGTGGCATGGAGGGGAGGCAGACGGGACGAGTGAGGTGCCTGCACCTGGCACAGGGGAATTAGCTCAAATGGTAGAGCGCTCGCTTAGCATGCGAGAGGTAGTGGGATCGACGCCCGCATTCTCCAGGAGTCCTTGGGTCTGGTTGTGTTTCTGATCAGCGGACATGATGTGGACCAAGACCACAATGAGGCTTTTTGCACCAGCTCAACCGAGAACTGCCTGAAGACAACCAGTGGGTGGTTCTTCACTGTTTTGTCTTGTGTCTTTTCCTGGAGAATTTCCCGGTAACCTCCCAGGATTGTTTCATATGCCATAGTGAATTCCTTTTCCTTCACTCAAGCTCTGTGGAATACAGAAAACAGGGAAATGATAGAAAGTTGTGCAACCATACTCCTTAGTACACTTGTAATCAATGAAACATTTGATGTTTTATTGAAATGTCATGTGACATAGAATGTAACAACAGAGTTTGTAAGAGTTATAATTTGCTCAAATAGCAGAGCGCTCCAGGAGTCCTTTGGTCTGCCTTCTCTTTGGATAATGAATTTCATCAAAATGAATCAATAACATTTGATGTTTGTTTTCATGATTTCATTGGACTTAAATTCAGCCATCAATTCAGATCCTCTTTCATGATAAGTGTTGGCTCTTCCATTTGAACTAACGCCCTTCGATTTTTTTCTGTAGTTTCGATAGTACATAAAATGATGCTAGTCCTGCTGTCATATATTCTGATTTTTTTTTGTTTGTGTGAGTTTAGCTAAGAGCCATCAGACAGAAGAGCAGCCAGTAGCAGAACAGCCAGTACCTGAGGAATCCTACACACACAGACAGGTAACAGACACACATGCAATACTACTCCACTGATCCACAGGTGGTGGTAATACGCCAAGATTTGCGCCAATGGGTCGATGAAGTCAGCGCATAAGAAGAGTGTACGCTTGTAAACATGGCTGTAAATCAGTACTGGATTTAAAATACTCCTAAGAGAATCTAAATAATTTTTTAATCTAAAAAACATAAGTCACGTCCCTACTTTCAGCCCTGAGTAGTGTCTGCTGGTATTCTTTTTAGGCTTCTGTAAGGCTACATGCACACTAGTATGTTTTCATTTTAAAACGCAGACTTGGTGAATCCGAACACCTAAAACATCTCCGTAGCGTGTTAGTGCAAACAGGTGAAAACAATGACGTTCACGTTTGGCACTCTGATTGGCTCTCTGATTGGCTCTTATCAGTCATGCAGAGCAGAAACACGATGCTACTGACAGTTTTAGTGTTTTTGATAAAAAAGACTTATACACTTGTACTATGCTTGTCACCGTAATTGCAACTCCCAGTCTGTTTTTCGCTACCACAGTCTCTTTGTCCTCCCGTATTACTTTCAGTAAACGTTCCACCTCATCGGTCAAAGAAATATCTGCTGTGGTTCTTCACCATCGCTGTTCTTCGCTCGTCTGTAGTAGAACTTTCTGATTTAGCCGTATCTTCTGCAGCTGCTGAGTAGACAATATGCTTTCTGTTTACACCAGTACGCACATGCCCAGTGTATCTGAACGGCCACTTTGCATTTTCAGTTGTTTTAATATAGACGGACATCAATTTTGTTTTAATAATAGTAGCAGTAGTGTGCCTGTAGGCTAAGTCCAAACAACCTCCTGTAATAATGTAGGGTAGCATATACTGTATACAGCCTGATACAAAAAGACCAGGGGCAGAAAAACACTGTCTACTGCTCATTAAACCTTATTGCTTTGAGCACACAGTAATGAGTTTATCAACATTTTTATCACCTCAGCAGGAGGCGCTGTGTCATCTCCTCAGTAAACTGTCTGTCCTGGAGCAGCTGAGAGATAAAGCTGACGAGACACAAAGTCAGATGGACAGACAGACAGAGGAGTGCAGGAAGACAGAGAGAGAGACGGAAGAGCTGGAGACACAACTTCTGATGCTGGACACCGCAGACCCACAACATGTGAGTGGATCAGCTGTTTAGTGTTTCTGTATATTCTGGATATTTTACAAGCGAAGGTAAAGCAACAGTGAACCCACCTGTTGGTGCCGACTTCATTTCAGAAAAGTGAGGTAGTGAGTCAGATTTCTGAGGAAACACTAAAATAAGGTGGAGAAGTACTAAGAAGTAATCTACTAGAAATAAGGTCACATATTCTGTTTTAATTAAATATACAAATATACCCCCCACCCCACGAGTTATATTGTCACTCATTTACATTTACATGTACTCATTTGGCTTTTATCCAAAGCGACTTACATTTGAGGAACAACATACAGACATCAACAAAGCATCAATACAGAACGAGATCTACAACTGACAATACATACTACTAAAAGCAATAAGTACTCGCAAGCGCTAATAGCATGTACAGCATCAATGGGGTAAATACCTTGGGGAAGAAATAAAAAGTTAACAAAATAGTGCAGTTAATAAAAGAAACTTTTAAGGAGATAGAAGATTATTAGAGGAAGTGTTCTCTGCAGAGTTTTCAGGAGCCTCTTGAAGTTAGAGAGGGACGCCCCTGATCTGATGGAGTGTGGTAGCTCGTTCCACCATCATGGTGTCACAGATGAGAACAGGGACTGACAGTGCTGCATGTGTAGGGATGGCAGAGCCAGGAAGCGTTTGATGGAGGAGCACAGTGGCCCAGAAACACCGAGCTGTGGTATACTACAGTTTATTTTCAGTTGGATTTTATTTGTACAGAGCTCAGTCCAGCTGCCTGACCTGGAGCACTTTATATTTTGAGATGTGTTTGAGTTTTGAGAAGGTCCTGTAAGCTGCTGGAAATGAAAAATTTAGTTAATGTTTTATAATAGAATTGAATGGACCCCATGAAGAATAGGCAGTGCTAAGTGGGGATGCTTATCAAGATCTTTCTACAGTCAAAATCAGAATCAACCAGGAAAACTGCCTATAGGTGCAGCTCAATTTTTAGATATTTTCTTCTCTCCACTGTCTCAGCATGTGTTCGTGTGATCAGTACTGCAAGACGTGTACATAGACTTTTAACCCTTTCGTCTCTGATGAAGATCAGTGACCATCAACTCTGCAATTTGTGGGGCAGGCTGTGGCTCAGGAGGTAGAGCGAGTTGCTGGTTAATCGGCGCTTCAATCCCGAGCTCCTCCAAGCTCCATGTCAAACTGTCCTTGGGCAAGATACTGAACCCCAAATTCCCCCTGGTGGCTGTTCCACCAGTGTGTGAATGTTAGTTTCTGTTTGTAAGTGTGTCAATGGTGAATGCGATGTAGTGTAACAGTGCTTTGAGTGGTCGCTATACGAATATGGAGCATTTACATTCACTGGGTACAGAACCAGAATATAGACAAATAATACTTAGCTCGTTTATTAACCACAGAGCCTTGACACCACACAACATCTCTATCAGCTCACTATTTAAAATATGAAACCAGAACACAGAAAGCATGTTTGTAAATCTCAGATTACAGGTCAGAGAAGGGTTAAAAGCTTCCTGGCAAGTGCAGGCATCGAGCCCACTACCTCTCCGATGCTAAGCAAGCAGTCTACCGTTTGAGCTAGTTCTCCTTTGGGTTAAAGGAGACTCCACCAGAGAGCTGTGTCCTGACCATCAGTCTCTCCCTCCTGCAGACTGTGAATGTGGCTTTCCTGGAAAGTTTGTGTTTCAGAAGGCAGATGAGCTCAAATGTTTCTGACTGTTTTTCAGTAAGGTCAATCTCGTTGATGAAAATACTTGAGTAAATCTTTGGATGCAGGATGCACTTTGACTTCATGGAGCTTGTACTTTAACTTAAGCCCCTTTTCCACCAAATGGTAACAGCTCGACTCCCCTTTTTTTGGTTTTCCACTGTGGAAAGCTTGTACCTGCTACCAGGTACTTTTTTTCCGCATCACCTCCGTCGAGGCTCCAAGCGAGCTGAGGCGATACTAACGTGACATAAAAAACAAAGCAGAAAGTTTTATATTTTACAATTTTCATACGTTATTTCATCACTAAATCCACTTACAATTCAGAACACAGCTCTCTGGTGGAGCCCCTTTTGATGTGCAGGGGAATTAGCTCAAATGGTAGAGCGCTCGCTTAGCATGCGAGAGGTAGCGGGATCGATGCCCGCATTCTCCAGGAGACTTTTAACCCTCTCTTACCCTTTTCTTTGAAAACATACCGCTTATCTGTCTTTACGTTGTGAGTAATGCTGAAACATTTTAACTTAAATCAAGAAAAGCACTGGTGTGTGTGTCGCATTGAACATTACATCGCAGCAGTTGTTATGAGAAACGAACAGCTACATCGAGGGGTACTATCTGCAATGGAAAATGGAGGACGGTTAAACCGAGTCGAGTCAAGAATTGAAAGTCTCTTGGAGAATCCCGCTACCTCTTGCATGCTAAGCGAGCGCTCTACCATTTGAGCTAATTCCCCTTTAGCATCAAAGAGCAGTTAATTGAAAATCAGTGTGTTGAAAATCAAAAACTTTTTGTGGTAAACTGCATCTGTTTCTCCTTCCTCGCTCTTCACTTTACAATTCAGAACAAAGCTCTCTGGTGGAGCCTTTAACATGTAGAGGAATTAGCTCAGATGGTAAAGCACTAGCTTAGCATGCGTGAGGTAGCAGGATCGATGCCCGCATTCTCCACGAGACTCTTAACCCTTTCTTTGGTGTAAATTCTCTGCTGATTCAACAACATATTTAGACAAACTGAAATATGAAACAGCCTGGAGAATGCAGCTGGCTCTCACATGCTAAACAAGAACACTACAGCAGAGTCTCTAACTCTGCTTCCAAAGGTCAGTTTGTATCTCTCCCTCCACTCAACTGCACCGTCTCACTTACTGAATACCAGCTGTCTCCATGTTGTTCTCTATTCAGCTGAAAAGAAGTGGTCTTTAACTCAAATATCTGTGTCGCTGATCACGAACACAGAGGAACCCAAAGTCTCCCGGAGAATGCAGGTTTTTGTCCGATATTGCTCCCATGCTGAGTGAGTGCTATTCCATTTGAGCTAATTCCCCTTTGCAAGGAACAAACACCTACCCCACCCCCTCCCTGCCCCCTCCATGCCTTGAACCTTAACATGACCGCTTTTATGATCAGTCTGTCAGCAATGTACAGACAGTTATCTCCAACCATCGTGGAATCATCCTCAGCTCAGAATGAAATCTATAGGTGACACTATCCTTTATAACACTGAGACTCTGTGGAGGCAGCTGTCTGGTTGGCAGCAGTTGCGTTGAAACATTTAGCGTGGGCCACATTACCGCAGTAATCAAAAGTCTCCTGGAGAATGTGGGCATCGATCTGCTACCTCTCACATGCTAAGCAAGCGTGAATGTGAATCAGAAATATATCCTCAACCATTTGGCGTAGATGCATAATGGTCTCCTTTGAAAGGTCAGAAACTAAGGAATATAAATCCATAGGGAGGGGGGATGTCAAAGCGGCGCTTCTACTCCTTTGAAGAAAAGGGCGAGAGAAGGCAGGCACTTAGTAGTTATGTTATACTTCGCTTTTTTATAAGCCACAGAGACTAGGATTAAGGATTAAAAGTAGGGCTGGGCATGTTAACACGTTATTATCACGTCAACGCATTAATTTATTAACGCCGACAATTATTTTATCGCACGTTAATGCAGTTTTTACTATTATTATTATTATTATGTTGAAAGTCATAATGATGGGATGTTGATCAGCCTGAAAATCAAACACCAAACAAGCAGCGGAGGGAGGCTTCAGCAGACTACACTGCCATCTTTTTTCTGTAGTTTTCCACCCGTGACCTGTTATGACAGCAGCAGGTGAGCCGCTTGCTTGTTGATGACGCAGCTTATCAAACAACCGAAAACAACATCTGCATCCTGTGTGTTCAATGCTGGTTTCACGTTACCTGGTCCGTGCTTGTAAAATATCCACCGCGAACGCGCAACGTCATTTCAAGTTTTTAACCGAGTGAAGTCTGTCCGAGTGAACACATACACATAAGACGACTGCTACACAACCACCCCCCCACCCCCCCACCCCCCAACCCTACTGAACATAGTGTTTATGCTGCTCCCTGATAAAAGATACCTGCTGATAGCTGTTCAGAAAAAACAACAAGAAAACTGGAATCTGATAGTAACTTGTTTTAACAAGCTAGATAAAAGGTAATGGCCTGGCAGTGGAAAGTAGCTTTGTTTTAATATTTGATTTGATTACATTAATGTTTAAGGTGAAATTTATAATAAATATTTTATTGCTACTGTGTAAAAAGGTAATACTGCTGGTAAAAAACACCTTATTTGTTTAAAGAGTTTACAAACCACATGTTATTGCACTTTTGAGTATATAGCAGTACATTAAATTAATTAATACACTGCTTTAGAATTCAATAATGCGATAAAAAAATGTTGATCATTGCCCAGATCTAGTTAAAAGACTTCTGTAGAAAACTGGCATCGAGCGCACTACCATTTGAGCTAATTCCCCTGTACAGCAGAGAGCACTTTGCTAAAGATATGTAATGAGTAACAAAACCTTGTGTGGTAAACAGAATCTGGTTCTTCCTCCCTCTTCATGTTCAGTACTGCTCAAATATATGTGCAGGGCAGTAAAAATTACAAGGTTTTCTCTTTAAATCTTCCAGTGGGTCAGTATGTCAGGCAGCAGCAGCTAGTTAGAGTCTAAACTGAGTTTCAGAGGCTCTCAGATCCTGACAGGAATAAATCACTGCATACTCTGATTATCTGGAGTTCACTTGTGATTGTTGTTCACATTCAGAGCGGCAGCAAAAACAACAGCAGCAACAGGTTGTTGTCTCTTTAAGAACCTCTTACCCCTCCCCAATGGATTCCCCCTCTAAGGGGCGGGGCTTTCCCAGCTTTACTTCACTCCTATTGGACAAAAGATTCCCTCTCACTCTGCAGCTGTGTGCTGATTGGCAGGGAGAAAGATTTCCTGTGTTGATTCAAAGACAGGGAGAGAGGAAGAGAGGAGGAGAA